GAAGGCAGTCGCTTAACCAACTGAGCCACCCAGGCGCCCCTGAAGTTCATTTTAAAGTTGTGGGTTTTGTGGACAAATTCCAGTGCTAGACAATTTACTACCCCCCCCTCCTTTTTAACTGTGGCAAAAAAAAAAATACCAACACTTTCCAAGTGTACATAATATTGTCAGCCATATGTGCATTGTGCATAGACAATTCACTTTTTATTTTTTTAAAGTAATCATGCCCAATGTGGGCCTCAAAGTCACCACCCAGGGATCAAGAGTTGCACCCTCTACCAACTGAGCCAGCCAGGCATGACAATTCATGTTTTAAAAACCTTTCATTTTTATAGAAGCAGTAATGTATATTGTAAAATTTTAGAAAAATACAAGCAAATTTTATGGGGCACAGGGGTGGTGTAGTCTATTGAGCTTCTGACTCGGGTTTCAGCTCAGGTTGTGATCTCAGGGTCATAAGATGGTCTACCCTCAGTGCAGGGTCTGCTTAAGACTCTCCCTTTCCCTCTCCCCCTACCCCTCCCTGTGTTTTCTCTCTCTCTCTCAAATCTTTAAAAATATGTAAGCACATTTTTAAAATTAATATTCCCAGAGATCATCATCTTAATAACTTTAGTTCGTCTCTTTCTGTGCATGTATGTGCATGTGTGTTTATTTATGTGGTATTTTTTTGTATGAGAATGATTAAGATGGAGTCTTAATACTTTCTTTAAAATGTTCGTGGAATCACATGCTTACATGTGATGGAATCATTGATTCATATTTCAAGAAAGGGTTTGGTAATTATACTTTGACAGAACAAATTTATGTAACAAATAGAATCTCAGATACTATATCCTGAAACAAATATACTTTGTTATAATACTTAGTTTTCACTGTTAACAGTCTCTACTGTTAATTAGAGCAAACCCTCTAACAAAAAATTTTGAAGTTAGGGATGACATAGGAGATTCATGACCATCCTTGGCATATATTTAATCAGAAACGTGTTTACGTTTATAACAGATGGGGCATGCATACTATTCTGCTACAGGAAGAAGTTGGTCCCACTTGGCTGAGTGGCCTTTGTCCATTATACCCTTATGGTCTACATGCAGTATTTTTAAATTGAAATGAGATCTACTGCTTTATTTCTTTTTTAAGTCCATCTATACCTTTTCCTTTCAGTAAATTTCCATTTAATCTAATACTCATAACACATTCAGCTTCCCAAGTGATTGGAATATGTCATTCACAATTTTTTATTTTTTTGTGTGTATGCAAAAGGAATTTAATCTCTCTTTTAAGCACCTGTTTATCAGTGGGTTTTGTTACTCACAGTTCTTGATCAAACCAATATCCAGTCTAGGACCACTGGTTGCATCTGTTAAGTTCGTTTATTCAAACTTTTATGACACTTGTTGAAGAGATTGGGTCAGTTGACCTCCAGAGAATTGTAGCCATGTGGGGGATGGATTAGAAAGAATAGGGCAACCAGTCTGGTGAGAAATGACTGAACTAAGACAGTGATGGTGGAGATGGAGAGGTGAAGATGGATTTGCAATACATTTATAAGTGTAACTGACAGGATTATAATTGACAACTAGATTAGGAAGTGAGGGGAACAGAGGAGTCAGAGATGACAGGCTCTGACTTCAGTATTGGGATGGATGTGATACCTTTCAATAGGGATGGGCACAGTGGAGGAGAAGGTTAAAGGGAAAATGAGTTTTGGACAAGTTGAATGTGAGATACCCAGTAGGCTATTGGATACGTGGATCTGAAGCCTAGATACAGACGCTTTTAAAATGACCCATATTTTGAAATATGGCACTTAATGGGTTGAGTTCAAGACTTTTTTTTTTTTTTAATGGTATTGGTAAAGGTGGACCTATATTTTGGGGTGGGGGTCTAGTTAGGTTCTCACATCATAACCCTACTCAAAATGTAACAGTCTAAACAAATATATGAAACTTACTGTAAAAGTGCCAGAAATAAGTATTTTTGAAGCCATAAGGAAAATGTTGGTTGATTAATTAAATAATTTTCAAGTTTGGTACAGTAAAAGTCACCTTAAACAAAATTAGAAATTAAGCTACAGATTGGGAGAAAATATTTGCAGCCTACATAATAGGATTATATCTCTGGTAGGTAGGCCTTTCCAAGAGGTCTGCATCCTGATTACTGGAACCTGTGAATATATTATTTTACATGGCAAAGGAATTAAACATTGCATTTGGAGTTAAGGTTGCTAACCTTAAGATAGTTAGACTTTAAGAGAAGAAGAGTATCTCAGGTTAGCCAGATGGACCCGATGTAATGACAGGTGTCCTTAAAAGTTGAAGAGGGAGGGGCGCCTGGGTGGCTCAGTTGGTTAAGCGACAGCCTTCGGCTCATTTCACGATCCTGGAGTCCCGGGATCGAGTCCCGCATCGGGCTCCCTGCTCAGCGGGGAGTCTGCTTCTCCCTCTGACCCTCCCCCCGTCATGCTCTGTCTCTCATTCTCTCTCTCTCAAATAAATAAATAAAATCTTTAAAAAAAAAAAAAAGTTGAAGAGGGAGGCAGAAGAGAGCAGAGTGATGTGATTAAGAACTTGACTTGCCTTTGCTAGCTTTGAAGGTGGAGGAAGACAGTCAGTAGCCAAGGAATGTAAGCAGCTTTTACAAGCTGGGAAAGACAAGGAATGAATTCTCAGTGCCTACAGAAATGAATGCAGCCCTGCCAACCTTGATTTCAGCTCCATGGGACATGTCAGACTTCTGACAAACTTGTTTTGTGGTAAATTTGTTAGGGCACCAGTAGAAAAATGGGTAAAGGATATGAACAGGCAGTTACAGAAGAAACCCACACGGCCACTAAACACAGGAAGAGGCACTTGTTTCTGTGGTCTTGGGGATGGATGAACTGACTCAGGGAGAGAAAGAGCACAGAGCTGAGAAGAAATGGTCAAAAGCGTAGAGAACTTGTGGATCAAGTGGGTGAAGAAGGGGACTATACCAAGGACCGAGAACAGCTGCCTAGACTCAGACCAATTGTGTTCATGTGAATGGATGTATTTTTCTCCTTTTCACTTGCTGTGAAGTTTTTCTCAAGGGTAGCATTGGACTCTGTTCTGGCCTTATAGCCTCCCGCTGTAGAGTAGGGATGTGTGGACTCCAGGCTGATGATCTGTGAAGGGCTTGAAAAGTTAAGCCTGCAAAATCCTGAGCTCTGTAGTTCTCTGATCCTGAGGGAATACAGCTATAGCAGAAGTTAATAGGGAACTGACATTCCCAGTACCCCAGACTCCAAATACGACATGAGAGGGATTTGTCTAGTTCACCTAGTTTATTAGGATTTCTCTCCCCAACCCACAGCTGGTTTGGCTTCAAGTCTTGGGGTATTGGGTGCCAGTACTACCAGCCTTTCCTCTTCTTACTGGTTTTGGTTGGCAGG